GGGTTGTCAAAGCCTACGTCAACTCCGACCATATGGTAAACAAGAGTGTTGGACTTATGGGCCTCTAGGGGGGATGATATGGTGAGGCGCGCCTGGGAGTCACGATTCATGACGTACACCAACTTCTGCTTCTCGACGGCACCAATCATAATAGCTCGACCCTTGGGATCGACTGCCAAATACTGACCAGGGACTATCCGACGACAGCCGCTTTTCCCAAAAGTCTCCTGCTGTACACGCTCAAATACGTTTTTGGATGCAATGTATTCAAGGATAACAATGCGACCAGAGTCGGAGCCAATAACGATATAATCTAGAGGACAGATGTTAAAAGAAAGCAAAATGCAAAACCTTTGTTGCCTCCAGTTAGGCGAAACGGCATCATTGACCGGATGATGCCGAAAACCTCAGTCGTTATGAGAGTGTACAACTTTCCAGAACTTGGATCCACGCGCATAAGCTCCAAGATTTTTCCCCGGGAAATTGCTATTTCCTGTTGTTTTGAGCCTGAAAAACTTCCATGGACGGCATGGGTAATTCCAGTTGCCCTCTGAAGACTTAAGTTGTACAAATACATGAGGAGGCAAAATTGCCGACACCGCGCGAAAAACCGTAAATTGAGCTACAGAAAAGACCGTTTAAAACAACATCACACCGAATTTGCTTTAGTCGAAGAAGATAATCTGCCACTCTAGCGTTTTTTGCCTATGCCAGGTAAGTAAGCAACACTAAAAACTATTAAACTTTGATAGTTACTGGAATGTCAAAAGAGAGTAGGCAGTTGTGGTCTCTATGATAGGTATAGTTCACAAGTTAAAAACCAGGTCGACGCACATTTTGTTCACTACTTACACCAATAACACGGAAGTATCTTGGGTCTGGTCTTTTTCGATGTCACCATGGCCGTTCCCTGTGCATATCCGATCCGCGATTTTAATCCCCAGCTTGTGCCAAAGTACATTAAACTAATTGAGTATATTTCTCTGCATATTTTCAATTTCAATATATTTTTATTTCTATATGTTTAAGCCAAAAGGGCCCGAGGCTTGGAGGAGTCTCTTGAAAGATAGTTCAAGACAACAAATAAACTCAAACAGGACGGCGATCCTCGAAA